GAGGTTAGAAAATAGAAAAATGAGGTTAGAAAATAGAAAAAAGAGGTTAGCAAACAGAAATGAGGCAGACACTCAACAGAGGATTGTGTTCAGATATTAGGAGCCTTCTAACGATGTAATGACATCATAAACGCCACAACTTTCTGCTGCTCTTTACCAAACTTTCCCCATGAAATACAGAAAGTTTGGTTATTTTAATGTGAAATAAAGTGTCTCCATAGATTCATTTAGTAACTTTAGGTTCACATGAATTTTCCAGCATTAAAATATTTTTGGTTTCAGTGGAAACTTGATGTTCTGACTGAATTATCCAGCAGTTTCTTTTCTAAGGAAACTCTAATATTACAGAAACAATCTTATATCTGAAGCCTTTCCTCATTAAAATAAAAACTGAGTAGAATTAATCAATGCAAACATATTTTATATTAAAGAGGGTAAAATGACCAATAAATGCAAAGTCTTTGACTTACATAGTAGGAAAGCTTGAGTCCTCCCATGTCAGCGATGTTCTCCCCTAATGTGAGGCGGCCGTTCACCTGCGCACAGAGAGGCAGGTTAGAACAGCTTTCTTTAAATCGGCCTGCAGACCAAGGCTCCAGACTAAGTGCCAGAATCATGACTCACCTAAAAGCTAAGTCTGACTCTATGTCTGCATGCAGAGACCAGAGAGGGAAGTTCACTGAGCTGCAGGATGAAGCCGCCGTCACAACCACACAATGAATGAGGCTGCGTGGCTTTTAATGAGGCTCATTATGTTAGTTCCTGGACAGATCTGCTGGAACCATTTCCTCTTTTCTTTTTCTAAATTTAAAATTCACAATCTAAAACATTTAGCAGTGACACACAGGAGGTTTGCAAAGATTCATGTGCAGATTTATCAGATGCATTACAATAAAAAGCAAAGGAATCTCACTAAGAAGATGATCTAATTTATTAGAACAGCCACTCTGCTGAAATGTGTTCATCTATCTGATCAATGGGCTCTAAAAGAAGAACAGATGTTCTGGAAGGATCATCAGCGCCTTCAGCTGTTTGCTGCTGCTGCCTGGCTGCCACAAGGTCCTCGGTTCAACTCCACAACCGCTGCCTCTCACAGGCTGATAGCTGCAGGCAGTTCTGATCAGGAAGGTCTGATGCAGCATTACCGCCCCCAGCTGGTCAGGAGTATAACTACAATTGTAATTCATGCTTGTAAATGTTTTATTTGTACTTTTGTAATTATTACCCTTAAATTACATTTTTATTTAATTTATGATTCATATTTGCAAGTTTGATCCAAAATTTTATATTTCTGATTTATACTCTTACATTTGTAATTTATATTTGTACTTTTGTTATACATTTTCTTATTTAATTCCTACTAGCAAATGTGTGATGTCTACTTAATTTGTGATTTTTTTTAATTTGTAAATCAGTTCTTTTTAAAGTCAATTTCTTATTTAATGTAAATTTTTTATTTTTTTATGTAAGTTTGTGATTTTTTATGCAAATTTGTTATTTTTAATATACAGTTTTTTTTAAACGTAAATTTGTTATTTTTAATGTAATTTTCAGAATCAGAATATGTCCTACAACATGGCCCTATACTTACTTAGCAACCAAACTTAAAGGTCAGTTTGAGTCTTAGTAACACCATGGTCTCCAAGGCTGCATGAGGGGGTTTGGCAAAAACAGATAACGTCTGTGTAAACACCTCTTGAGGGTCGCAGTGACACAAATCAGCACACGGGAATTCCAGTAAGATGTCGACACAATATTCCCATGCACATGCATCCACACAGTGCGATGTGGAACCTATAAATGCCGCCCACAATGGATTGAAGGTTGGGGAAACTACAGATGTGAGGACATAGCGCTGAATGTATGAAGTGTTTAAGACAGCTGTATGAATTCGGTTTTGTAATTAAATGTTTCCCCCTCCGGATGATAGATGGTGTGAATCGTGGCCTTCTTTCTGTCATAAGGGAAATCTACCAATGAGCTTCCATAAATTGGTTCCCATAGGCTCCATACATACTCCCATATGGTCTAGCGGTTAGGATTCCTGGTTTTCACCCAGGCGGCCTGGGTTCGACTCCCGGTATGGGAACCAATTTATGGAAGCTCATTGGTAGATTTCCCTTATGACAGAAAGAAGAAAGAGGCCACGATTCACACATCTATCATCCGGAGGGGGAAACATTTAATTACAAAACCGAATTCATACAGCTGTCTTAAACACTTCATACATTCAGCGCTATGTCCTCACATCTGTTATTTCCCCCAACCTTCAATCCATTGTGGGCGGCATTTATAGGTTCCACATCGCACTGTGTTGATGCACGTGCACGGGAATATTGTGTCGACATCTTACTGGAATTCACGTGTGCTGATTTGTGTCACTGCGACCCTCAAGAGGTGTTTACACAGACGTTCTCTGTTTTTGCCAAACCCCCTCATGCAGCCTTGGAGACCATGGTGTTACTAAGACTCAAACTGACCTTTAAGTTTGGTTGCTAAGTAAGTATAGGGCCATGTTGTAGGGCATATTCTGATTCTGATTTCTGATTCTGATATAAGACAATAAAACTGCTTCTACAGTATAAAGTTGAAACTTTTATTTAAAGCTTTTAAATTATACATCTGGTGAGGAAATACGAATCATAAACTTGCTTTCGTGTTTATTTCCCTACATTTCCCGTTTTTACTGACAGCTCTCACCACTAGAATCACGGTGAAACTCGTGGTGATCGGGGGAACGCCCACCTTCTGGTTATATACCGTGAAGTTATCGTAGAGCTTGACGATGCATTCCGCCTTCCTCTGGAACTTCCTGTAGGACTCCTGAGTCCACCATTGTTTGAGGTTGCCATGGCGGTCGTACTGGCCCCCTGGGGACATGAACCATTGCATCACTAAGATGAAGGGCAAAAGTGCAGGTGGATGGTGAATATCAGCGTTAGACTGCAGAAATCATAACTTTAATCTCAGTCAAAGAACTGCAGGATTACGCTTTTATGTTGCCGTGAAAGTAGAGGATGCAGTAAATTCCTCTAACTGTGTTTTTGTTTTGCACGTAAACACGAGGTGCACTACCCAAAGAGGTTAACATCGTCTGCTTGTTAGATAAACAGCAGATATCAGATGAGTAAAAGCTGTTCTATTGACTGGGATCAAACGTTAATAATAAAGGAAACATTGTGTGAAGGTGAAGCATAAATGGTGCAGAAATAAAAGCAGTTTTAGTGTCTAGCAGAGAGGTCATCCTTACCCCAGTCATCGTAGCCGTGGGTCAGCTCATGTCCGATTATAGCTCCGATTCCTCCATAGTTCAGAGACCTGGAAGCAGAAATGGCTGAACTTCAGAGGCATCCAGGAAAACTCTACAGCAGCAGCCATTCAAAATGGCCGTTCCCAGTAAACACCAGCTGAATGGCAGCCAACTTCCTCCAACTCCCAGCAGAATCCCCTCCAACTTCCAGCCACTACAGTGACCCCCTCCTGCATATTTTATTTACTCTGACTCCACCCTTTCACTGAACTACAGGGTCTGACCAGCAGATGGCGCTTCTCTTTAGATCTTAATGTCCACAAATCAGGACAGAAAGAATATTTTAGTACAAAGATTGATGTTTAAAAAGGAATTGAAGGAGACCAGTCAAGGAACAGCCAATGACCAGCCAAGGACCAACCAAGGACCATCCGAGGACCATCCGAGGACCAGCCAAGGACCCATCTGGGAAAGTGGGGACATTTTGAATGGCTGCTACTGTACATCCATTATCTGGGAGGAAATGCTTTGTTTTTGTGAGGAACGGTCGCTGCAGTGCGACTGGAAGTGACTGGAAGTCACTGAAAGTGACTGGAAGTGACTGGAAGGACTGGAAGTGACTGGAAGTGACTGGAAGTGACTGGAAGGACTGGAAGTGACTGGAAGTGACTGGAAGTGACTGGAAGGACT